CCCCAAAACCCCAAAACCCCAAAACCCCAAAACCCCAAAACCCCAAAACCCCAAAAATCTAAGATATAGTTGAAAGTGGTATGAACAGAGGGATTTAAATTCTGAAGAATTTATTTCTTCCAGTTAGTATACAACTCATCAGCCCATTCTTGCATATCAGGAGTATCTTTCATAGCGTTCTCAAATATCCAGGGGTGCATTCAGAGTTCTAAAGCAGTGCCTCTTTGTTCTGGATCTTTTTCCAATCATTTCAACAGGAAGTCAGTGAACTCTTCGGAGAATTCTTCTCTCATCAATGAAACAGTATCTGTTGTCTTTATATAGTTGAGCATTTCTATATAATTTGCACTAAAAGGATAAGGGTACTCTCCTATGGCCATTTCAATGAGGATGATGCCAAGAGCCCAAATATCACCTGGGAAGGAATATTTCTCCCCACTCATTCTTTCAGGAGACATATAGTGGGCAGTGCCCACCCATGTCTTGCATAAGTCAAGACTTTCATCCAAGATCTTGGCAATACCAAAATCAGTTAACTTTACCTCACCGTTCTTATTAATTAAAATATTGTCAGGCTTTATATCTCGATGAACTGATTTATCACAGAGATGAAGGTATGCGAGGCCATTGAGAGTTTGTTGGGCAATACTTGCAATTACCTCCTCTGGAACTTTTGGTATCATGCTCTTATTTTTATTGATCATTTTTATTATTCCTCCAAGTGACCCAAGTTCCATTAACTCAAGGGCTATTTTAACATATCCTTCTTCGTAATAAGCACCATAAAATTTTACAAGAAAAGGGCATTGGTTCTTGTACAGAGATTTTAAATCATTTACCAGCTGCCTTCGCTTAGCCTGATCAAACACATTAATGCTCTTGATGGCCATGTATTCTCCTGAGGGCTTATGAAGAGCTTTGTAGACATGACCACTAGCTCCGATGCCCAGTTTCTCAACCATCTCGAAATCGTCAGGACTAATGGAGACAATAATATCTCCAGTTTTGGTATCACGAATTCCGTCACGAGCAACATGGAGATCTTCTTTTATAATATTCAACCCATCAGTGTTGATTTCACAGGAGATACTGAGGCTGCTTGAGCCGATGTTTCTCTCAAAAATATGTCCGCCAGCTCCTTGTCCTCCTTCTATATTGCCATCCTCTGAAGAGGAGATGTCTAGCATGAGTCCTAGCTTTGCCATTATTTTCAATAATTTTTAAACCTATTGGGGTTTTGGGGTTTTGGGGTTTTGGGGTTTTGGGGTTTTGGG